AATGGAAACGGCTCACAGTCCACTGACTCTCAATAGATCTGTACAAAAGATCTGTACAAAAGGCTAACAATGTAGGGCATATTTACATCTTACAGTGTGTAATAGTGGCACCTGGATGAGCTGTACTTTTAGAAAGACAATGTACAAACAAATTCTGTTCCCCCGTTGTTTAGACTATCATGTTACAATGTTTTGTGGTTGTTTGTCACAGGTTATTGTTACATGTACATTGTATGTACAGCATTATCTAGCCATTGGCTCTATATCAGTCAAGTCATTTATATTCTGCCAGGCTTACAAAATATCCTAATTCCGTTTGACCCAACAAGTTACCAGTACATGTACATGTACATGGTTATGGTTATGAATTGGCCAATTTGGTAATGTAACCACCACATTTAATGGCTACGGCTTTGTGCAGTGCCTCAGTACAAATTATTTCATGCATCGTTTAACAATGTTTAATCTGAGATGCATGGCCCTACATACCTGTATGTGTTATCAGTGTATGTGATATGGTGTAATATTGAAGCCCTAAACAAATTGTGCTTCAAAATGATCATGAAGTGCCTCAAATAAGTAAAAATCTTTGAGTGACCGGTTTTACAACACTCATTTTTCCCAATAGACTAATGTTATAAAAACGGTTGAGAAAACAAATTCTGAAATTTCTAATTCCAATCGTAGATATCTTGATAATCAGACAGGCAATTGGATGTAAAAGTCATGAAATTCATGTACATCCTATAAAGGTTTATAATTAAACATAATTATGATAAGATTGCAGAATTATTTAAGAATTATTGTATTTCAATAGTCAGAAACTTAGATGCAAATTGCAAATATAATGTATGTTTAGGTAAAGGCGAGCCATAATGTTTGTCCGACCTAGCAACAAATATTGTATGCAATTTATTTGCATTTGACTAGAGATACAATTATTTATTTACGGGTGAATGAAATAATCTGTATGAGGTACTTCACAAAGGCATGTACCCGTATGCATTCAATTTGGTTACATTACAAAAGTAGCCTATTGAAATATGTCATTGATTTTTCACTACACTAATAGTGAAAGATTAATGTATATGTACATGTATTGGAACAAGTGTATTGTTCTGTTTGTTTATCAATGACTTTCTTTATTTAATACTTGAACTAGTAAGTTGCGGTGGAAAAATAAACAATTTACACTATTAAACTTGTTGAAGTCTAATTGTGTATACAAATTTAGAGGAAATATTAATACAAATTTTTAAAAAACTAGGAATATCAGTAGGCTAGTAGTGATGCAACATTTAGTAAATAGTTGTTTAAAAAAAAATCAAGAGATATATTTAATTGTTGCTACAAAAATGCAGAATAGGCATTGTACAATGTACGTTCATCGTGTAAACTGCATTATAGGCCAGGCGTTACACTGTACATGTAATGCAACATGATTACCCTGTAGCTCCACACTTGTGTGTACATATTATCATTGACACATACACTACCTAAATTACCAAGTACGAGCAGTATCATATGCGCGGCAATAAAAACTGATTCGTTGAGCATGTTTGTAAGCATGTAAGTAATGTTGTCACAGGGACATGGAGCTATGTCTCACAGGACTCTGTCGTGAATCTCTCAGTATTTGTAAATGGATTGTAAGTGATCATTGGAATTGAGATGAAATTTGGGTAGAGGTGCTTGAGTGTTTTGTTTTATTTTGTTTTGTTGATCTTTATTTCTTAAATAGTCATGGAGATCCAAACTACTGTACATGCTTGTAGGTCCCATGTAAAAATTAGGTCGAAAACACCTTTCGGAAAAATGAATATTGAATAAGTACATGTAGATACACATGTACACATGTATGCATATATTATAAAATCAATAGTTTTTTCTTAATGCTTACAACTCAGTTATTCTGTAAGTTATGCAAATCCTGTTAGAAATGTATTGGATCGGACCTGTGAGCAACTAAACTCTTGAAAAGCTAAAAAATAAAAGAGCTGTGGAAATTTTAAAAACGGCTCCAGTAAAAAAATAAAAAACGAAGGGAAAAAAAAAGAAACAGATCATTGTAATCAAATCTTGCTTGTGTTTAAGAGAATCCCCAAAGAGCTCCTGTAAACAAAAAGTACTTTTTTCTTTTCTTCACTGTCTAATGAAGACTAGGGTACATGTATTTGGCTATGCTGTAGAAAGACTCATCAGGATAACACAGAAAGGAAACCACTTAATAATGTGTCCTGAATTGACCTTTCTCAGTGTGATTCAACCAAATACAAGTATTTGGATATCTGTTCACACCCACCTCTCTCTCTCTCTGTGCCTGTCTCCCGCTGTCTGTCTGAATGCCTTTCTCTCTCTCTCTCTCTCCCTCTTTGTCTCTCGCTTCCTTTCTCTATGCCTTTTTTTTAATACAAGTTGGAAATTACAAACCAGCTTGTCATATTGCATCCCATTCTGTTAAATATTTTTTGCATTGTCAGAATATTATTGCCTTGGGTAATTCATTCTACCGAGTACCGTCTGAGCATCAATTTTGTTTAAATGTCAAAATAAGTCTTTCACCTTGATAAAAAGGAAAAATCTGCCACGTTTTGACTATAAAGGGTATGTACATGTACATGTATGTTAGATAATAGAATCATGGATATTTAATATCCTTTGGGAGACATTTTAAGTAACTATTTTTTAAAAACATTTGTTTTGTATGATGGTGAAATCACTGTAGATCGTTTACATGTCGATACATTGTAGTTTGAAAGTTGAAACCCTACCTGCAGGAAATACATGTATTCTCCTGACAAATACAACTTCGCGCATAGCCAGCACAAGTGCAAGTTCAGAGCTTGCACCCGCGTGCTTGCTGGAGTGGATGGATGTACATGTATCTGTTGAATAACCTTGTATTATTTATGAAATAGAAAGTCTCCTACTCTGAGCGATGAGCTGAAAATAGCCACTACTTGCTGCTCAAGCAATTTTCTCTCGCCAAAGCAATTGAGCATCCCACACAGATTTTTGTGCATTAATGTCTCTGCCTGCCTGCCTGCTGCTCCACCACCGCCGTACATGTATGAGATAAATTGACAGGTATGGACTAGTCCATGCATGCATGCATAGTTGTGGAAGCAACCGCTAATGCTATTTGCATAGTTCTCCTCATGTCAGCCTACATATACTGTACCTGTCTTTTGACTTTATTTTACATTTTTCAAGTAAGGTGTATATTCTGTAGGATGATGATGTGATTTAATAATCTTCATATTCTAAGATACTGTAGTTGTACTTTGACTCAGACAGACATGTACTGAATATGTATTAGAAATGAAAAGATTGTAAGTTTTACATACATATACATGTACATACACATATAAAGGAGTCTAGTGTCTATACTGTATTAAAGCCTAATTGTACACTGATGTAAAGGGCAGTGAATAGACCTTTTCATGCATTACATTTACTTATCATGATGTGTGGTGTAATCTACAAATTAGGGGTTTTAGAGAGTGAGAGTAAAGTGAATATTTTTTTAAAAATATTTTTATATTTTTCCCTTCAAATTTCAAAACAACATTCATAACGTGGGAAAATATAACTGATGACAAATAAAAAAAAGTTTAACAATTAAAATTAAAATTAACTTCAGAAAAATTTGTTGGTAGAAATCTCAACCTATAAAACATTCTACATGACACTTGCAGTGTGTGTACATGTATGCCTTCAGGCAAATATAATTATCCTTATTAGAAAAAAATAGGAGATAAAAATCTCTGCAGATTAACAAAATAGGAGCCTCTGATTATAATTTCTGTTACAACGGTTTCATTTCAGTGTGTTCACATTTTACAAAAAAATCTAGAGAAAAAGAAAATTGGATATTCAGTCTCCATGCATGGACCCTTGTACAAATAACTGGTTGTCAAGTGGCTCACAGGGCCTGGCAAGCTCTCTGTAGTAGAGGTCAAGGGTGAAGGCTGTTGTCACTGACTGCCACAATATACATCCCTTCAACTTGTACATGTACATGTATGTACTTGTGCATCGTATGTATTCTTTGTTTGCTGGAAGAAAGAAAATGGTAGTTTATTTCTCAGTGACTACACGTATGTTTTGTAGTGATGTGCGTGGTACATGAAGATGTAACCTTTCTTGCAAATGTAGACCAACATACACATGTACACGTACATGTATGTACAGTATGTACATCTTTTTAACTACTTAATTGCAGTATTGGGAGCCTATGAACGGCATGACCAGGTTATAACAAGATTGGAGAGACTATTTGCAACATATAAGAATTAGTTTGATATGATCTAGAAAAAAATGAATGTTTGATTTCTATGCAATAATGTCCTGTGCATTAATACTTCTACAGTATTCGTTCAGCTTACAATAGCTAAACATACATGAACAGGCTTTACAAAATAGTAATACATGGATGTTCAATATGCCATGCAAACTTTTAATCCCAATAACTTGTATCTCCTTGAATGATCCTCCTCCTCTACCCCTTACATTGTACGTTGCTTGCTCATGTGAGAAGTGAATTTGATACAGGCATTGCTGCTACTAAAAGTGTAAATGGGTGAATTCCAAAAATGTGTTTAGAATCTGGCTCTGCTGTCCCAGAAATTTCATTTGTATTCTAAATTCAAGCCTTTCCTTGACCTGCCAGAGTGCTGCATCACTGTAATGGAGAGCACTCCAACTAAAGAGGTGGGAGTGGATGTTATTGAGAGGGGCAGAAGTGACAAGAATAGAGAATGAAAGAGAGAGAGAGAGAGATAGAGGGGGGGGGGGGAGATGAATTAATTTGTTTAAATAGAAAAAGGAAAGAATGAGATAGGGAGAGAGAAGAAAAGTTGGAAAGAGAGATGACTTGTACACTTCACCTACATGTATCAACTCAAGGTTCAATTAACATGAACATAAGAATTGTATGTCTGTGCTGCTGATCTCCTAGCAAACTTAATAGCAATGTCTTTTCTGTTCTCTTTCTTCAGCAGGAAGGAGTGACTGATGTTGGCACGACCTGACAAGTATGTCCCGACATCGACTTAGAAGTCGGAACAGGAATGCCAGCAACAGTAGCATCATCACCACCACCAACACCACTACGACCACCAAGAGCAACAACAACAACAATAACAGCAGGACGATAAGGAACCAAGAGAAGATGCCTGAAGGGGTAACGACGAATGGGGCGACGATCTCAGTGACGCATACGAATGGGGACCTCTGCGCAGGAACAACTCCAGTGGTAAGTAGTGTTGGGAGGAATGTAACTGATCCAAAATGCAGGGCTCCACACAAACGTTATTAGAAGGGACCAGATTGTAAATTGTATAGTCTGTATGCATCTGGATATTTTGGGGATCCGAACTTAGATGTTGGTCCGGGCACCTGTTAATGTCTAGCTGAGCTTAATGTACTGTAACACACTGGACAGAGAGAAGATATGGCTTATGTTGTGATAACAGTTACTCTTTAGTAACATTTTACACTAACAAAATAACTGTAACCATAGACCCATACCTAGTCCTAAGTCAAATCCTAAGCTTAGTCCCTACCTTAAAAAAAAACTTACTCACAACCCTAACTCTATTTCTTTGACAAATTAAAGCCCAAAGTAAATGTTGCTGGAGCATGTGTCGGACCATCAAAAAGAAATATGAAATACACCTCATATATATGTCACATTCTCCAGCAACAATTGATCCGCTGTGACTTCCCAACACTTACTGAATAATTTCAACCCTGGACCCAAACCTAATCGTATCTTTGGCAAAATAAAGCTTGCAACAAATGTCACTGGAGTATGGAGCGGATCACCAAAGAGATATATGAAATAATAGCTCTAATGCACCTCATATGTCAAACATCCTGATGGGTACATTTGTAGTAAACATATAATAAACTTATTATCCGTAAAAAGAAAGTGTTTACATTGAATGATAGACAGTTGTTCTTCAGTGCCTTTCTTTTAACAATGAGCAAAGTGCATGCATGATGCCTGGTTGGGTGGGATCAATAATCTGTTTCTAAAAAAAATGTCTTTCCATTCTGAGCTGGGCAAATTTGCTTACAGCCAATATTCCGCTTAAAAAAAATGCATATTGACAAAAAAGGTAATTTGGAGCAGTGAGGGATTTAAATCTGGAAAGTTTTGAAAGAGCTCTTGACAACTGAAACTGTGCACACAAGAAGAAGACAGGTTTGACGACATACATGTAGAAATGGTTCCTATTGCGTGTCACATCAATATACATGTTTGAAGATATTTATATCATTACTACATGTACAGTATATCAACCTGTTATCACCTCAGAATTATAGTCAACTGTGTCAGAAGTAGAAAATTTAATCTGTAAGATTGACTGTCTGTCTGGACTTATTTATTACATACTGCACTTTAACTATTATGTTGCAATGAGCAAAAACTGGATGTAATTTTTTCATGACAACTCTATATTGCATGTTCATATGTGTGACATACATGTATGTATGTATTCATATTTGTGCTGTGATGGTTCATGGAAAAAGATCACAGAAAGTCAAGTACATTTACTTGGAAGTAATTGTACTGTAGCCACTTACTTCATTGTCATATATTTCTCTAAAATTATTTATTTTGTTATGTTTATGGACCTATAATTAAACATAATTTGATAAGTTGATAATTATTTGCTTTTGAATTATCTTATATATTGTGCATTTTCCCACTTATTTTTAGTATAATATAATATATCTCAATGAAAATCTGTATTTTTGCAATTGTAAATCTGTAATTATCTCTTAAAATGAAGTTATCAACAACGTTCTACCCTATTATGTAAAGCGTATAGAGACATGAGTATAATGCACTTTATAAGAATTTCATAATTATTATTAGATTTTCCATTATATAGCATTTTCTTGTTTGGTTGATTAATGCTTCAGGTGACAGTTGTTCTGCCACCTGAAGCATTAATCACCCACACAAGAAAATGCTTTAATGGGAAATTTAATAATCTAATTTTGTTAGTATGAGTTGATTCACAAAATAGGTACTGTATAAATGTGTTGTCATCTAACTGGCCAGGTTAAATGTACCAACTTGTTTTTTATGACTGATATTTGTTAACAACTCTTTAGACTGTTCCTTTCACATTATGACTTCACAACAAGTGCTCTGTGCTTAACTATATCTGAAGTATTTTGTGAGGTCTACTGTCTTAAAAATAAAGAGAAGAATATAATTCTTTCATGTTAGCCCATGCATGAAGTGGAGGGTCTGCTCTCATTCATGATTTTCTTTCACAAACTCTAACTCTTTGTGAATGCTTTTAGATGAAAAAGGAAAAAAAAGTTCTGAATGACATATTTGTTTGCCCTGGGCCCCCAGACAAGTAGTTACATGTCACAGAGCACTTTGGCATAAAGATATGGATCATGAATTGGTAAAGCACTTATGGCAGTGTCTAATTCGTTGGTAGAATGGTCATTATAACTGTAATAAAAATCTTGAATAATGGACATTTTCAACATTGAATTTGATAATGTTTTAACCTGTTGTCTTCTGGTACAATGTTTTAAGCCTATAGAGTAAGCCTGAGTCATTACGGTTTTTGTGCTAAACGTTTAACCGTTAAAAGTATAGGGGCGGTTTTGTTTAAGCGTTTTGAAAATACACATATTTTTAAAAGTGTGTAAATTCTCAAGCATTCAGTTATTTTGATGAAGAGATAATGTTATTAGATCTGTGTAGGGGCAATAAAGTCTTGCCGATAATTATTGTTTTTAGATCTCCGTAGGGGCAACAAAACCTTGCCGATAATTATTGTTTTTAGATCTCCCGAGGGTCAACATTACTGTTGATATTGTTCTTGTTCTTGCAATTTGGCTACATAATTTAGAAAACAATTTTGTTCATAATCTAAACCCAAATTAATAAATCAGTCTTGTTATTTGTTGTTGAAATATGACTTATTAAAGTCAGGTATCATGTTTTTGCAGCATCCAATATTTGTGTTGATGGTATTAAATGGATATATCAGTAAATATTGAGTCCTTCTCAGTCCATGTACTTGTGCATAGTTATGTTCCTACAACATACACCCAAAATAATTATAATTGCATTATTGAGACTTATCATTCAGTATTTCAACTGTGAAATTTAAGTTAAATTTGCTGGTACCTATGTACCACAAGCTTATTGTAAATATACAGTACAATTAACAATCCAGTATTCAAAGTGTTCAGTGTTAAATCTAGGGAAGAGACTCTAACTTTATGAAGGCCTTTCAGAACATTCAATTAATGAAATGTATTTGTAATGAAATGATAATGTAATAGCTTCCGATCATAGACTTTTTATGGGAACTTTATTGATGACATGTACTGTACATGAAGTTTTTCAGAGTTATAATTCTACTGAATTCCGTCACTTTATGTGTGAATTTTGTCTTCCAAGTTTTGATTATCTTTGATTCAGAGCCCTGTCCCCCCCCCCCCCCCCTCAACAAAAATGTATAAACATTTATATATTTATTTATTGAAAGAATACAAGCTCCAGTGAGAGACATAAATACAACTTTTAACAGAAAGTAAATTCACAGATGTATGCACTATAAAAAAAACTAAACTTGGATGACAATTCTTAAAAGGACTGTGTATTCCAAATGTCTTGAGTGTACATGTACATGTATGTATTCTTGAATGTAGCCCTACCTGCATATCTACATGTATGAATGTTTGGGAAGCATTACATTTATGGTGACTATCGACTGTTGGACAAATGAGGGATAAGACCTGGTGTCTGCTTGTACATGTATGTATGTATGTGAACCCCTTAACGCTTCACATCCTGTCTTTCTTTCTTTCTCTCTGGGCTTCTTCTCCTTCATCCAATCTCTAGGCCTCCTCTTCATCTGGTCCCCATCTGCCTTCTACCTCTACAAGTATCCTCTCCTCCCTCAAGAAGTTAGTTTGGCAAACCCCCGTGGTGAGTTTGGTTTGGTCCAGTGTGTTTGCACCACTTGCCAGCAACTTCTTGATTTCAATTCAAAATACACACCGGCTCGCACCATTTTACTCTGAGCAGAGGGGTGGTCATCTATGATTTTCATCCAGATGGCTTTCTGTTGTAGGACTGCATTTCTGTTTTCCTAGTTTGCCAATTTGCCACATTCATGTACTGTACATTGTATCAATGTGTTTTCTGTCTCTACTGGTCATTTCACTTACCCTCTGTCTTTTGTCTATGTACAATTTTGTGAAATGTTTGTGTTGTTAAATTTGTGAAACATTTGTGTTTGTGTAAAAAATCTTGTAAAATGTTTGTGTCACTTCAAATTTCATGAAATTTTTGCCTACATGTACATGTATGTATTTGTTTTGTGTTATATGTATGTATGTTGACATTAATTTACTACTGTTACTCATGTATGTTACAGACAAGGTGTTTTTTTTCTTCCTTCACACCATTACAAAAATCAGTTTGATAGCATCATTTACATGTACTGGTAGATAATACTACTATTAACTATGATTTTCTGAAATATAATTTAACTACATGTATGTGTCATGCAGTTGTAATCGCCATTGTTTCACCTGAGTTGAGTCTTCAAATTGCTTTAATCATGTAGATGAACATATTTGTATATTTGATACTTGTCTTATGTGAATCATATCAACATTGTAAGTGCACACCTACATGTATCTAATGTACATGAAAATGCTAAAGAGTATATTACTATCAAAAAGGTAATTATGCAAATATACATATATGTAAATGTACAGTCAATTACTTTTAATTCCTAATGATACTGATATCAACTATATATGTAGTTACTTTTGTTTATTTTGTAGTCTACTATTATTTTAAGCTTCTTGGTCAGTTGTACATAATTTATCATTAGTTGATAAATAAGTGAAATTATATTCTGACTTCCTACATGTATATGATTGCTGGGTTATTTTGGTTGTTTTGTTCTTCTAGTGTTTGTGCTAACCTAATTAGGAGATACCAAAACTATTTTTCCTTTCAGTCCTGAACAAATATATACAATGTTGTCATACATGTATCTCAAACATGAATATAAAAAGGACAAATCACCCCCCCCCCCCTCCACAAAAAAGTAATTGATATCCTCAGAAGATATACCCCAAGTATGTATAAATTTCATGTGAGTAACAAACATAGAAAGAAAAATGATTTTTAGTGATGCTCCCTTTCACAATTATTTTTCAGGAATAACTGTACTATGTACTTTTATTAATTGTGGATTTGATTTTGTTTTCCTAATGTATATCCTCACATTTTGTTTCATCTTTTTATTAAATGTTTGTAGGACGACGATGTCTCACGTAAGAGAAGAAGAGCAGCAGAAGAAGAAGATGCCAATTCAATGATTGCGTCCGCACCGGTACCTGGCAAAGGCAAGCCAAAGAGGCGGAGACTTGAAAAGTCTGAAGAAATCACAGATGTAGAAGGTAAGAAATAGATAGAGAGAGACAAAGATAGAGAGAGATAGGTGCAAGAGAAGAGTGAAAGAGGGAGGGAGAGAGAATGAGACCTTTTGTCTTTCATGGGAATTATAAATAGACTCATTACCGGTATATATTGATACCCACTATCCTCTCCTGGAATGTATTTTTCTTACAAAATACAAAAGAGGTCTACATTCCAAGACTATTCTGTATTTATTACTGGTACTTCGTATGCATTCCCCATTTACTCAGGCACGTTGATTAAATCTATGTTTAATTTAGTACATGTAAGTTGTAAAGCATCATGATATGAGACGCTTGGTAAATTCTCTTATACAAGCAAAGCAAAGAACTCTTATTTGAAGAAAGAAAAAAAAACCTGTTCTAATTTACATTAATGCTCCTGAATCTTCATATAAACAAGTACGGGTAAATACTTGGGAAGTCTGCGATATGAGACTAGCTCAATTTCTCACCAATGTAGGGAGTTTTTGTCTGTGGTGGTTTTGCACATCACTCACTGATACTTCCGCTGTACATCCTGTGGATTTCATCACAATGAAAAGTGGGACAGACAATGTCAATGAGTATTTTTCTGCTTTGATAGAAATGGCATTTCAGAAAAATAGAACAAAGACAATGAAAAGCCTTCAGGTCAATATGATGAGATTGACTTGGCTGGCATGGGGTATGAATTATGTCGACTGGAATATGGGAGAAAGTGCATGTGAAGACTTTCACAACATTTTCCTTTCGATTGGTATATGTGCATTATGAATTAGCATGTATAGGTATTTGCAGTGATTTTTATTGTACCGTCATTTGTACTTATGAAATTGCATTAATATTTTATTCCAATATTTTGTTTAAAAAACAATCAAAACCATGAAGGATGGTTTACTGTACCGTGTGAGTCAAAAAAAAGTTTACACCTAGCAAATGACTAATTATTTTAAAATTCATCTATGAACAGTAAATTATTATACATCTTATGACAGAGTGTTTTATCCAAATCATTTGGTATCATTTTTGTGTTGTATGTGTTCACGCTTGGATAAACAGGAGGCATTGTTTACGAGAGTGCAAAAATCGATTGATCGATATATTGATTATAGATTGATATAATTTGAAAATCGTTAGTTATTGTTTACTCAGAACTGGTTCTGTACAGGTACATGCATAATTGAAAGAAATGGCCAGCACCAATACAAATTGTTTATTCTTTGCAATTTTAGTTTTATTATGACAAGTAACATTATTTTCCTGAACATAAAAGATAGCAAAGTTTTCAGAATATGGACCCAGAGATATCTCCACTAGGTGCTCAAAATACAAAGATTGTGTTACAGTGACTATTGAGGAAAAAATGTATATGATAATGATTACCAAATTATCTACTCTATTAACAGGATGGTCCAGATGAGTAGTCGACTCATAGTATGATTTGTATTATGGTCTTCATCAACCACAACCTGCATGGATTATTACCTGAACTTGATTAATCAATCAAAAATCTGACTGCTTATACATTTACAATGTTCTGTTTGAATGCTTTGGCATTAACTGCAGATTACGCTCCTCTTATGCCTAAAATTCTTTTTCTTTTTTCTTTTTTTGTTTACAGTCCCAATCAGTGCTGTAGCTGCCAAGTCCATCTCAAGTAACGGCACAGAAACCCCAGCAAGATCAACACTCCTTGGAACCATCTTCTCACCAGTCTATCAGTTCTTCGGAGGTAAGAAAACTGTGCTTACATTTACCAGTCTTCTTCATATTTCGTACATTACTTATAACAGTGATGTACATGTAGCTACAGAGAGGCTTGTTTTCCCTGATGGAATGGCAAAAAGGGGGAGAAAAAGCAAGGGAGAGAGAGAAATGGACAAGGAAAAATATATAGGACCCCCCTCTTTAATGACTGGACCCATGTTAATACCGCTGATACTTACAGATGCTTTGTGTAAGCTATCAAATTACCACTTACGTGTCATTTGATATTGTCTGGAAATAAAGTATCATATTTCATATTTTGCAATTTTATCTGAAACAATATAAAAATCATTGTTTGAAGAAGAAGAAAAAAAGAGAAATCCTTCTTGACATTGGGCTTTTAATGCATGGAGATTGATTTGTGAACATCTTTGAATACATCTAGCAGGCAAGGCAATACTCTCATTCTGTTTCGTGTCAGTAGTATATAGTGTTGCTTGGCAAGTGTCCCACTGCACTGCGTATTTCCGGAGTAACCGTCTTGTTTGAATAGAATGGAAGCATGATTTTTTATTTTGGACAAGTAGCTTTTTTTCAGTGCAGTTGATCAATCAATGGGTATGTTGTAGTTGATTTTGATTAAATTTGTTTGTTGGATACATAAGTTGACAACAGTCTGTTGGTCCGCATCTTGAACTCGAAGTAAAGGATGTAGTGCAAGTATGGTGCATGTGTGATACATTGCATGCATTCTCTGTGTAATCGTTTCCGCCTTGCAAGTGTGATAAAAAGGAGGAAATGTATTTCATGTGAAATTTCAAATATACTTTGCCTAGAAATCCAACATGGCGCTATCGTAAAATGTTACCATTACCTATATTGCAAGAATACCATCAGTTCTTAATCGTTGAAAGGAGTCTTCATGTTCTAAGCTCTTAAGGTGGAAACTAAATTCAAAGCCTATTATCAAATGTATAATGTACATAGTTTCTTAGTATACAGAAAGGCCAATGAAACCTTGTCAACTGAATAAACATTATTTTGGAGATCACACTGTCCAACACTAAGTTTCTCAAGTTATAAATGATATTCACCTAACGACTGTCCAATGCTTAAAATATTTCATTTCATTCCGCTAGGTTCGCCAACAGAGAACAAAGAGAACCTGACGGCCGTCCCTGAGAACCTGGACCTGGACGGAGTGGACCTGGACAAGGAGAACATATGTACGGAGTTGAATACAGCCATACCGACCACATCAGGAGCAGGGGGAGACGGCACCAGGACAACCATGACCACTATAGTCCCTCCCGACATTCACAACTCAGGCCCGGTGGCCTGCCTCACTGAGGAAGAGGAGTTGGAGAGGGAGAAAGAGGAACTTTATAAAGGTAACTTTACAATTTGTCATCAGAAAACTGATTGAGTCCTGTTTTTACCTTCAAGGGAATTTTAGATTTTAATGCATTATCATAAATACTTTGAAGGATACTGCTATTACAATGATGTAATGATTGAAAATGTTTCACTTCTGCCAATACTTTAATTAAGCTGTTGAATATAATTAGAATTGTAGAACACACATATTTAAAAGACTCCATGTGTTAAGCAGTAACAAGTTAATCATGAAAGAAATTCATAGCAAATCTGAAGTAAATTTAAGTAAAGATTTAGATAAAAAATAGGAAATGCACAACCCGCCTTGAAAGAAATGGAGAGATGAATTAGGCTTTGAAACATATTGTGTCAGAAAGATATATCGGTAGTCATTGTTATCAGACAAAAACTCGTACATGATATCAAATGCAAATCTAGAAAGAGCTTTCTCCAGCTCCTGTATATATTTCTCTTTCCATATACTTGTTTTATTATATTTTGTTTGACTTACTCTTTAGATGCGAATCACAATGATTGGCCTCCATGTCAGATGCAGTATGCAACATACGAACCCATCGAACCAGACTTCAGCATAGAAGATGAGTGGGAAACGTTTGATCCGTAAGTATCCTTATTTTCCCCTTCCCTTCAGTGATGTACTTTAAATCTGGGTTACATATTTATACTAAAATAATGGAGTTTTATCATTCTTCAGATATAAATGTGAGACCAGCTAAGAAGAACAAAATAATATTTTTACATCCAAAATGATTATGGTAGCTGGGTGTGGTTGAGCAATCTTGTGTGATATCATACATATTCATGATTCCAAGTCCTAGTTTTGAGAGATGAATTTTTTGTGTAGAAAATCCTTGATAATATTAAATACATGTAGTATTGTTTTCCTGAAGAAAACCAGGAAGTTGTTTTAAAAGGTGGTTGAATCCATGAGTCATTTATGCTCGTTTTTCAACTCCTTCCTGTTTATTAGTAAGAATTTTTTAGCGAAGGAGTGAACTAGTTGGTCATCTTGTTTCTACAATCCATAAATGATTATAATGATTCATAGATAATTAGGAAGTTTTGTTCCTGTTAAAAATAAACCAGACACGGGCATTAATAATTGGTTGACTTGATACATCAGGTCAGCGTCACAGAGTAACATTTTCACCCCCCACCCCAAGTTTGAAACAGTGTGGTATGTGTGGGAAGTAACAGGATTTAGGCCAGAATCAGGATTGGAGATTTTTATGAGTAGCTCAATGTAGCAAAGTGCTAGACATTCCTATATATATATATATATATATGTGACAACACTAATCGTTTGTATAATGGCTAATGAAAGTTCACTTGTTTATTTTATACTTGATTATAAGAAATGCTGCTTTTTTACAAACTTGTGAACATTCAAATTTGAAGAAATAAGGCATAGACACAAGAACAACTTTTTGTCCAATGTAGGTAACAAGTTGTCAAATAAATAGGCATACAAGCCAATAGTATTTTAAATGTTTTCTTTGATTGCTCCTTTCAGATACTACTTCATCAAGCAGCTCCCTCCTCCTACAGAAGAGCAGAAGAATCGCACTCCTGTCCTCCCCCTCAAGACTAGACGCTCCCCAAAGTACTCACTGGTTCTTGACCTGGTAAGTCTCAGTAACAAAAGTATTAAAAGGAATTACAATTTACTTGTTAATGTTACTAGACTTTTACTGTATACACTGCCCTTTGGGTACGTCTTTAATCAGATCTGAATTTTCACAATTACTCACATTTTCTGGTTTGGTCAAACGTGCCAGCATTCTTTGCCCTTTCGGCATTCTCTAAATATAGATGTTAAAAGAAAACCTGGAGGAAACATTGACAAGGCAAATATTGGGGTCACTATTGAATTATGCCATATTATGATGATTTACATAATGATGTATATGTTTTATGTTGTATAGGATGAGACTTTGGTCCACTGCAGTCTTGCTGAGATGGAGAACTGTACCATGTCATTCCCTGTATACTTCCAAGACAATGAGTACCAGGTGAGATACAACCACCCAACCATCCCATCCCATCCTGTCAGTGGTTTATGTAACCCCTATCCTCATCATATCCCTATTTTCAACATTCGTTGCAATATCTTGCTAAAGTTGAACCTGACACTCGGCTAAATCTTTTGTTCTAAACCAAGTTTTACAAATAAAGTAAGACCGAGGTATAAGTTTTCCATTGCTAAACATAATCTTATACCCAGGGTTGGGTTTAACTGAATTAGTAGAATACGGATCTAAATGTTTGGTGTTTGAATCAATCCTATTATGAGTCTAGTCCATTTATGCAAATTGCAAGTTTGTTATGGATTTATTTGCCATTGGTCATGCTGATTCACCAGATTATATGATTTTTGTTATTAGATAGATTCTAAAAGAGGAGATTCACAGCTTTAAAATGATATATATCCCATCACAATCCGACATCAAAAATGAGAGGAACGTTCATTCTTACGATATGTTACTTTATAAGAGGAAACTGCGCTCAGAGTCTGTCCGTTGCAACACTCTGAACCACAAGGTATTGTGCAAGGTGACAAAAGGAGGATTAGAAATTGAAAGGAATTTCTGCGAAGTGATTCTCAAATTGTCTTAAAACTAAGCATGTCGTGTTCTTTATTTTGACCAATCATCAATGCAAGAGCTTACTTTTTTTTAGTTAATAGGAATTAAAAATGAGACCAATAGCCTTGATCTTAAAGAAATCAAAATTACTACAACAAACCCAACAAACAGGTCTTAAAAACAGACCACCCAAAATACCACTTTTAGATTATTTGGTGCTTTTGAAATTGAAACTATGTAGAAGAAAGTATGCTCTTTCAGGCAATACTAAAAGATAAAATTTCAAATCCTGGCCCCTTTACTGAGCCCTAACTGGAAATGACTCCATGCAACGGTTTAGTGCCTTGTCATATTTGGTCACTTAGTCCTTTATAAAGCCTTTGTGAAATAATGCTCAACACAATGCATAACCTGACAAGAATTACAAGCGTCCATTTTGTTTTTCCTCCCTCCAGGTATACGTAAGGACTCGACCATTCTTTCGTGACTTCTTGGAGCGTATGTCAAAGATCTTTGAGATCATCTTGTTCACAGCATCAAAGAGAGTGTATGCAGATAAGCTGTTGAATCTGCTTGATCCAGAAAAGAAGCTAGTCAGGTGAGAGATTATGGAACTTTATGTCCAGAACCATAAGTCAAACATTCCTGCAGGGTTCTGGCTTTGAGTGCAGGAGGTTGCATCTAGCAGTCTAAAATTTGTGTTACCAAATGTATGTTACCATTAATCATAAAAATAACGTTTACATGTAAAGATTTGGTATCACAAAAAGAAAATCTAAAGGGTTAAAACAAAAAAGGATTCCTCCTTCACCCCCTTCTACAAAGTAAAATATCTAAAAAAAGAAGAAACAGAAAGAAAGAAAGAGAGAGAGAGAGAGTGAGAGAAAGAAAGTGAAAAAGAAAGGGAAAAATAGAAATAAATTAAAAAAAAGAATGAGATAAACTGAAAGCCCCCCCCCCCCCCCCAAAAAAAAAAAAAAAAAATCACAACAACAACACAAAAACAAACAATAAATTTGTTTAAGAACTTGTTTAAAAAGTATACTGTCTCTGATATAACCAATGGCCACCTGTTCATATCCATACACCATGTTACAACGATATACAAGTGCAGTTCTTGTTTCCTCTTGTTTCTTTGGGATACTCGATTTACTTGTGATGTTCTACTGTTGTTACTTCAGGCATCGTCTGTTCCGAGAGCACTGCATCTGTGTACAGGGCAACTACATCAAGGATCTCAACATTCTAGGAAGGGACCTCACCAAGACTGTCATCATTGACAACTCTCCTCAAGCATTTGGATATCAGGTAGATTTATTGGTTTAAAACTTTAAGAATGACAAACAGGAAGAAAGAGAGTGGTGTGGTGTATTAAAATTGACACAAATTCAGTGGGATGTTGGTGAATGTGTACTTATGGCGGCTTCATGGAAATGAGGTAGTGAGTGTTGTTTGTCTACAAGGTAATGGTAGAGTAGTGAATATACTGGAGTGGATCATTATACTTCATTACAGTAACTTTGGTTCTTACCCTGGTACCGCTACTCATGTAGTCTTCAAAGGAGTGCAAGGATGCTTTAAATCGTATTTACGTTGCACACTTTAGTAAACAAATTCATAATGTGGCTCTTAAGATAAAAAGAGCAATGGAGTAGAACCCTTTGGAGAATCATATCACCTATTCAGGGAAGATTATGTATATGCATGGACCATACCTGCCAACCACCCCGATTAAGGCGGAGTTTCTCCGCATTTTTCATACTCCGAATTCCGAGTGCATGCCTCAAAACTCCGATTTTTTTTTTATTTTAATTTTTTTTTATTATTTTTTTTATTTATTTTTTTTTAAATAATTTTTTTTAAATTAATATTTTGTGTGTGCGTCCGCCATTTTCAATGGCAAAATGTCCATTCTGTCCTGTAAAGTATCCTACAAGCATCTCACATCAGCAATTTGGGGATGTTTATTCATACCTGCGTATAGCCCACGTGTATTTATATTACATGTGCAGTTGATACGCCGTGCATAAACACTGTATACATTGGCGTGTTTTCTTCAATGCTTGTACGATGACTGCGATCGTGGAAGCTTGTTATTTACCGGACTTCCTCGGATTTATTTTGGATTACTACTACTATATACCTTTGCAAAATAGGGCTCCTAACTGAGGTGGGTAGTGAAACATGTAGTTTTGTGAGTGTTCACATTTCAAAAATTGTTTATGTGTGGGGCGAAAAGGTTGAAGGAAAAGGCCCATTTGCACCATTAAAATGGAGAGAAAAAAAATAGACCCTAAAGTCCTGTGTACCCCCCCCCCCCCCATCTACGGGCTACTACCCCAATCCTTCGGTGGTTCGCGACCTCGTAGTCCATCCAGAAAAATTTACTCCTAATTTCTCTTGTCTCAGGTTGGCAGGTATGATGGACACTATCAAAATCAGAGTGTTAGCTATTTTAGTGAATATTCTTTGGGAATTAATTTAGTAAATTTATTCAGGTCACTGTAGACCTATTTGAAACGATTATTGGTTCAGCCTTTTTTAGAAAACTTATTATGTAAAGGTTTTAGTCAATTCATTGTGCATATTTTCCCTCTTTTCCCTTGTCTTATGAAGTTGGAGAACGGTATCCCCATTGAGAGTTGGTTTGCAGATGACAATGACTCAGAACTGCTCAAGCTGGTCCCGTTCTTAGAAAGCCTTGTGTCAATGGTAAGTTAAGCAAGAATGGAGAAGTTGTCCAAGGGGAGTAGATGGGGCTAGTTGTCTTAGAGGAGAAATTATTCAGGAGTTGGTTAGTACAGGCAAGTGTTGTTCCAGACTTATAGGAGGCTTGTTTCCTGAAGGAAAAATAATCTTGATTTATGTTTGTAATCTATTTATTGAACCAAATGTCACTCACTGTTGGTTCCATGGAATAGTATCTTTAGTTGCACTATAAATGTTCCTGCATATGATTTCATTCATGGCTGTTTATTTGATCTTATTTTGTAAGTGTGTGTTGTATTTCATTAATGCAACATTGATATGCAAAAATAACAATATCTAAACACAGAATTGAATATGAAATGTAACTATTTCTCTTGATCCTTTTTTTTTTGGACCTGGTACAGAACGAAGACGTTAGGCCGCATGTGAGGGAGAAGTTCCGTCTCCACGAGCTGTTACCTCCAGACTAAAAACATCAGAGCTTTCCCCAGCAAGAAAGAGCACCATAAAAGAATCTTGTATAGAAGTGTATTTTTGTGAGCTAGAATGCAAAAAACAACAAAAAAATGAGAAAGAGAATCAGAAATATTTCTATGAATGATGACAGATTTTTAACTATCATGTACAAAGTAAAAAAACAAAACCTCTTCATTACAATTGCTTGTTGTCTTTTAAGGCTGTGTAAATAACATTCATCTGATTTCATTGTGTAAATACTCTGTAAGTAGACTTATGGCCAATTTTCTTTGTGCGAGACAAGGCTGCCATAATCAAAGCTTTCAATGTTAGTCTTGATTTTAGAGTTACAAATATGAAGAACGTTGTATTATACATTTTCTTGTGTTTTTATTCAACAGAATATTTTGAGTGAACATTATAAGTTGTATAGCTATTCATGCTAGTTTAAGTAAGAACAAATTGGGTTACATTCAATTGGTTTTAAAAGATATGAAGTAGGTATTGATAGAGTCTATTTAAGTTGTTATTTACTCAATAGGGTAATATTTCAATCATTTATTTTGAGATCACTTTTTCTTTTCTTTTCTGTTTTGGTTTGAAATCTTACATGGGGTATGAAGAAAGATGAATATTTCTTACAAGTGGTCTTCTATTTTAAATTTTTCATAGAATTACCATTTTTCATCTTTATTATATCAGAACGAGAAAAATGGTTTTAAAAGGAAGATATTTGACTGTTATTTTATTGTGGGGCTTGCCTAGCCATATGCTTATTTATTTGTTTTTATAGTTGGAAAAGAAATCATATAAAGTGCCAAAACTAAGTAAGTACTGCTCTGAATGGAAGACAAATTGCATCAACAGGTGGACCAAACAGGTTGCGAAGTTTCTTTACAATTTTTTTTGTTGTTGAGGCAAATTCTTTGAATCTTTTTAAGTCCTGATTTTTTAAAGACATTTTGATTTTTTAAATTCCATTAATGGCGAGATCATGATAAATTGATATCTTTGAAGTGATTAAAAAGGAAAATAGGAAAAGATGAACTTATGGAATTCCATCCAGTATAAAGAGAGTAACTTTTTTTAATCTGTTTACAAATGAAGACTAGCAAATTGGGGATTTTTATGCCAGCAACTTGTAGTTTTCCCATGTAAATATCTATACATATGTTTGTAAATATTATGAAAAACTCATATCTTTGTATAGAATTATTATCTGTAATTTCTTCTTTCCTATATTCGTCTTGCTTTAAAAACTGCCTTTTTCGTTGTTGTGAGTAGTACTCGATTTTGAATTTTGAATCCCTTGTAGTAGTTTTAATCTTTTTATCTATCCTAAATTTTGCCCCAAATAATGCAGGCGATTTTAAGGCATTTTTTTAAAAATTGTTTTTTAATCATACTGTATACTCTGATGACAATCACTGTTGGAAATTGTCTTACTTCTGTTTTCAACCATTGGTAGTGAACTTTTTCTATTTTCTTTTCTTTTTAAAACTTTAAATAGAATTAACTAATTTGTTAGGTTTTAATAAAGTCTTTTGTAAGGTACCTCCTTAAGAATTCCCCTTAATGTATGGTATGATAATTGTACATTTATACAGTTGTACATTATCTGATCAAAGTGACTTCAGCCACTTTTTCCAACAATCATTATTCAACAAGCAACTTTCTAAAAGATTTAAATGGGAGACATATTTTTGGCTTTCAAGGCTGTCTTCTTGGTGTAGTGTTTCAACTGAGTATTATCATACTCAAATAATATAAGTTATTTACCGGTAAATAGAAAAAATATTATTCCATGTTTTCTTGATAATATTTTTCTATTAGGTAAGTGTCTCACAATCCACTTATGTAAGGGTACTGGTCACTGCACGTAAATTACAGTCACAAATAAGGCAACTCTGTTTTGAAATATAAGAGTTTGCACCTTTCAGCGAGTAACTTATTACCATTCCCATTTTATGAAAGAAATTCAATCATGCTAGCCTGATTTCTGTCATGGTTCTTATTAGTTTTTATATCTTGTTTTCATTGTAAAAATGTACATAGATATGCTGCTTATTTCCCTTTCCATTTTTTCTATCATATGTGAATGAACTGAAAACATGTCAAAAGGTGATCCACTTCATGTAAAAAGATGCATAAATTGGGAGTGTTTTACTTGTTGAATTGTTAGTTTTCACCCATCCATCATCAACTTTTAGGTCATCTTGTTGCCCTCTCCTTAATGTTAGTTGCCAGTGTAATGTAATGATGCTGTTAAGTCATAGTGTCAATGAGTATAATGAATGTAAGTAGGATTGTTGGAAAACATTGAAATATAGCCCCCTGAAGCCTGCAGTCTTTTTATGCTACGTATTGCAATAGGAATTCTGTTTTTTATAGAAAGCATTTAACATAGAGGTTGTAACAAATGTGTTATACTGTAGTGATTTACAACATATCATCTTTAATGACGGGTCTCTGTGTGATGTACTTACATTCATACGTGTACTTTCTTTGTTAATGTTATTAGTGCTTTCAGCCTTGATTCAACCAATGTAATACCACAGAAAATCATCGTTGATACACGACTAGGTAATTGCCTCAAAAATCCGCTTTGGCAAAATATTTTTTTTTTAAAAACAACATGTAAGCGTATAGCAAATGGGGAGAAAAAACAGTAGCCACAGGCATGAAGACCCCCAAAGGGGTACTGTTCTTTATGTTATAAAATGCTGTAACATGAGGCAGTGAGGCTTGGTTCGCTTAGCAAATTTTGTTTTTGTGGCCCAGCAGGTTTTTTAAAGACAGTATACAGCAGTGTGTGTTGGTGAACGAGGCTTTATGCAAATTTCTGCAGGTTGGACTTCTTCATATGATTCTTAACCATTTCAATCTCAATATGATGCCATTGAAAGGACTAACTACAACTACCATTAGTCCCGATTTGTACATTTATGTTGAAATAGAACACAATGAAATAGTTCAGCTGTATTAGTATTTTGTGAACATGCCCCACATGTGCTATTTGATGTTGTGTTGTATCAACCAGGCTTAGATAGGATTTCATTAAGGTTTCTCTTTGGATGCTGCTTTGTGTTCTTGATGTCACAAATTGCTTTTTCACAAGGTTAAGGAAAATACATCTTCAGCATATCATCAATCAGTAGATACGCTAATCAAAGCATATGTAGAAAGAGTGATTGCTTCCATGAACACATTTTTCAGACCTCCTTAACTTAATATGCTGCTTTCCTGTAATTGATGTTCATAATTAGATTTTTATCTAAGCGTACCATGCACTGGGAATATATAGTAGGGTCTAATGGTTGTGAAATTCAGCTGAAATTCTTTTAGTGCTTCCCAAGAAAATAATGCATCCAGTTTAAGTATGTTCTGCTTTTTTTAAGGTGAAAATCTTGGTCAAATTTTAGGTTGAATATTTACAAGTGAATATCAGATACCTTTTTGCTATTTTATGGTTAGATATTTCATTGAGGCATATCGTTTTCTCAATCACTGTTCATCATATCACTTAACAGATATGCTGCATGTCGACTAAGTACATATTTTGCTAGTTGACCATTGAGCATTGTATGAGGCAATGGGTTCTTAGCACTTCAATATGTGTGCCACTTCCTCTCTCCTCTACTTTACCTCTTCTCCTCTATAGAACATCCCATGGAACCGACAAGGCCATGAGACTGACGACCTGACATGTCAGTTGTGTGGGCTGTCAGTCTCGTAAAGTGTAGGTCTTGTGAGCTATAGCTGTACTCTGATTCTTTTCACTCTTCTGCGATGGTAGTGAATGTGACGTAAATTTAGTAAGAAAAGAGGATGCAATTTGCTAAAGGTACATTGGAAATGATTGATAAGTACAAAATATTGTTATTTCCCTACCCCAATAGCAATGTACCCTTTTTAAACCCACAGACGATGAAGCTGAAGCAACGAGGAAAGGAGTAAATTTTAAGAAGTTTTGGAATGATGCATTGTGTTAAAAGGGTCTAACAGTGATTTTGTGGACAAGATTTCAGATATTTTTTCACAATCTGATAAATTATTCATTTATTCATGGACAAAGAAAGAAAAGGACATCTGTCCCTGAGATTGAAACCATTCTTTTCCTTTCTTGCATGATATCAATCTTCTTCTTTGCACATTCTGGAGTTGTAAGACCCTTGCTTCTAAGCTCAATATTTTACGCCACTCTGCAAATGCTGCGTTCTGTTTGTAGAAACAGCTTTTGAAAATCCATGCAAAAGTGGAGTTAGCATGTGCTTTACAAATATACACATGATTATTTTCACATTTTCCATATGAGTATTCAGCACACTTTACGTAACCTTTGTAATGTAATTATCATGGAAAAAAATATTGTACCAGTATTTCAATTTGCACTCCCTCAGACAGTTTATAGCGTTTAATATGTCTGAGATTTTTGTTCCTGTTTATGTAGCTACCAATTACTCTCTGTGTGTTGAAAGCATTACATTATTGGCACAAAGAGGCACTGACAGGAGCTTGTAAAACAGTTGTGGTAAATATAAGGTTAATCCCCTTTTCTGTCACACATGTCTTGGAAAGTTTTCAGGAAGTGATCAAATGTTGCTTTAATATGACAAGTTGAAGTGTTTAATTTATGGTTTACATGGCTAGAAGTCGACAGTCAGTGGCATACTATACTTGTGGGCTAGGGTTTTGACTAAGCCACCAATCCTGTGTTCATCTAATGATAATAGGGTAAATGTTCTTATATTTATCATGTACATGAAATCATATTCGTTCATTTTACTACTTTACTTACAGCTGTAGAGTTACAAATTGTATATACTGGCTTCATCATGTTTACATGTTAAAAAAATTAGACTTCAAGAATGGATGTAAAATAACCAGTCATCCTGATTATGTGTTTACCAATGATTTCACTTTATAAATAAAGAGGCTTTCAAGTACACTATGCCCCAATGTATACTTGGCCAACCTGTAAATTCCCTTTTTTGTTTGTTTAATGATCAACTAGTGCTAGGAAAATGGTTTACTGTGTTTTACTAAGGGCTTTTCAATCTTGTTTTAAGGAGAGCAGCAAATGGGGCTTCATGATCAAGAGACACAAATGAGATGTCAAAGCATTGTGTTGTTTGCACTTTTATCTAGAAATGTTATAATCATTGTGCTAAACAATATCTGTATTTTTATAAAGTACAGGAGGTATCTTTAGGCTGGATGATATGTCTCGTGTTAGGTTCTGGTTTGTTTCTGGCATCATTCATTGTGATTGAAAATATATAGGGATTGTTTTATTTTAGAACTATGTTCTCTCTTGTAACCTGAAAAAATATATTAAAACAAGTGAAAAGAAGATGAAAGTTCCACATTAATTACTGAACGGTTCATTCATTGTTCTTTTAATCTTGGTCTTTGATTGTTTTTACATCAAGTTTGTTGGATATTGATTCATGGCTGAAAACAATTTCCTTTCTCAAATCATTCCCCTTAATATCGACTCAAACTAGCTCAAAATAATGCGTTGAATATTATTGCAATTGCAACGTAGCCTACTCTTCAAATCATTTATTTTTGTGACTTTGTATGGCGTCAAAGCTATGACATTCAGGGGTTTTCTAGTTACTGGAGTTCACCTAATATTGTATTTGTGTTTCAGATCTTGTAACATATGACCCTCTGTTATGATGTTTAGATCAATGTACATGTAGTTGAATGTAGTTATCACCTTATTGTACATACCTCTTCATTTAATCTGTGTGATTGCTTGTGCCTTTCTGGCTTGTCTACCATTAAAAAACAGTTCAACACCCCTAAATACACTGATTTTCTCTTATTTCATTTGTATATGTATTTTAAAATCAAAACAGCTGTATGAGTGTTAGTATTTACATATGTTAATGATTCTGTAGAATTTGTCCTGTATGACACCTGTCTTTTTCTCATTATATCATTAAAACTTGAAAAAAAGCTCTGTGTGAGATTATTTCATAAGGTTAGTGATACAATACAGAATTATAAGCCAATGGTCAATTTTTTTTCCCTCCATTTTTGGATGAAATAAATGAATAGATGTCTATGTCATACAAGACACATTGCACAGAATTGACCTTCCGGTATTCTTTAATGCAGGACACTTGAAAGTTGATGGGATCATTGCAACCCCATAAGGAGACACCATTTCTGGTTGACACTTCTATCTCATTTTAGAGTGTTATCATGGACCATGGTTATATCAAAATAATTTAATTTTAGCCACTAAACTCCGATCTCTTCATGATGTTAATGACATTAATATTTTATTTTACTGAATCAAGGATTCAACATTTACAAACAAACACAAATACTGTAGTTTGATGGAGTTGGTAATTGTTTTCAAAGAGATATCAAAACACTACCTTCTCACTTGATTTTTTGAAATACTCTTCATTGAATGATTTATAACTCCAAGCTCAACTATCAACATGTGTTCATTATTCTATCATCCCTTTTAAACCCATCATATAAAAAACTGCTAATGAATGAGTATCAAAAGTCAACTTTCATCTTTACCTACAGACAATGCCATCTTCAGGACTGTTTCAGGAGATCGATTTTGTTTCATTTTCTTTACAATCTTTCTCTTCTTTCTTCATCACTTTCTGTCTTCATAATTATACTTCTTGTTTACCTCTCTTTCTCTTCTTCATATTCCTCTACCTCTAAGTTCTTATATTCCTCTAATCCATCTGCCTGTCATTCTCTCATACTCCTCCACTAGCTTCTTAATATTTTCCCCGTCTCTCATTGGAAAAGTTGTGGAAACATAAAAATGTGTACAAATTTATAGAAATATTTAAAGGTTTATTACAAACCTGAAAAAGGAAGCAAAACAATCAGAAACACCTTATAACAATACTTATTGTGTACCCAACTTCACTGAAAAATTCACTACTAGAATATTATAGTAAACTCTGGTATCAGCTGCACTAGGTAGAAAACGTCAGAGGGCGATATACCAATGCGAATCAGCTGCCGAGAATATGGCGGGGATATTGAATGGATCTGTGGGCGAAATTGTGTTGCGCTTGTTTTGATCGGGAGGTGAGAGAATGATCTATTTTAATTGCTACAGTGAAGGGAATCCTTTTAATTTAAAATGTATGACGTCTACCAGATATTAAGAGCCATCATTTTAAACAGAATTAAAGATAAATCTATGACTATCCTAATTGTTTTCGCTGCAAATAGACAAGATTCCTGAAAATAATGGGCCCACCTATTTAGTTTCATGCCATGGTCAGCCTATAAAACTAATAACCCCCGTGTTCAATATCACCCGTACTACGAACCAGGATTCAATTTAATTTTTCCTAAGGTACAAGTACCGGTAGTATCAAGCTTGAATTTCTGAACATCCTTTCCTATTCTGTATGACACTGGGTGAAATATCTGCGCTAGACTCTATTTTAGAAGTCTATCCAACCTTGGTTGGCGTTAGTGTAGTTCCGTATCCATTTTTTTAGCAGCTTAATATCCATTCTTAGCAAAGGAGTTTTAGCCCAATTTTTTACTCATTTTAATCATAATCATATATCGCATTTTCCACCTGAATTTGGATCACATCTGACATCGGAAAGCCTCTGTTTAGGGCTTCGATGTCGACGTCGTCGCTCAGTACCGTCTCTACGCTATAGCTCCGCACCTCAAACTGAAGCTATCAGTCCAAAATTATTCAAATTCTTGTATGGTTTATGGTATCGTGCATGCGCGTAATACCATAAACCATACGAGAAGTCTGCATGATTTTGGACTGATAGCTTCAGTTTGAGGTGCAGGACTATAGCGTAGAGACGGTACTGAGCGACGATGTCGACATCGAAGCCCTAAACGGAGGCTTTCCGATGTTGGATGTGATCCAAATTCAAGTGGAAAATGCAATATATGATTATGATTAAAATTAGTAAATAATTGGGCTAAAATTCTCTTATTTAGAATGAATATTAAAATGCTAAAAAAATGGATACGCAACTACACTAGCGCCCCTTAGTTTAATAGCTTTTTATAGAACTAGGACTAAGTTAGACTCTACTCTCTAGGTCTAGTTTGACCTGGCGTAAGTCGAAGCTCTGGCGTGGAGATAGTACTAAAACATACCTTTGTTTATTTATTTACTACCCATGGTTTCTTTTCTCTGTACTTTGTATTATTATCTGAGGACACTGGAGCCCAGCCTTTGAAAGGCAAATGGCCTCTGCTGGCTCCTCCATATTCTTTGTATTATTTATATTTATATATTTGCTTATATGTATAATGTATTGTTAAATGTATTTTTATACGAGAAATGGAAATAAAATGAACAGCAACATGAACATGAACATGAACCCAAAATGAAGTAAATATTCATCAAATATCCAAATAATGGTCATGATTTAAAAGTCAACATGTTTACGGTAGATAACTTCACACAGGTGTGCGCCCGCCCGCAACCCACCATCAGTATGCACTTGTATTGTGCAGCGGTTTGCTGTGCAACCTGTGAAAAAGTGTATAGATTCTACTAATATTTCTAGACCTAGAGTCTAGACTCTATCAATTTTCCGGAAAATACTCAAAGAAAAACAAGAAAATTGACACGAAACAGGTAAGAAACATAATAGGATAACACCTTTTCAATGACATTTATTTGGACATTTGATGAATATTTATTTACTTCATTTTGGGAAAGTTTTAGTAGGGTATCTCCACGCCGGAGTTTTTGGATAGACTTCAGAACTAGCGCCAAATATTCTTGTATCTCACGAAAACAAAGCCATACAATATTATTATTATCGTTATTATTCTGACTAGCGAAATAACAAAATTTGACTTAGATCTACCTCAGTAAATATGGCTTTGTTTTCGTGTGATATTGATATCAATAGTTGAAGTTCCCGGATGACTGAGCAATACGAAAACAATATCGGTTGGTCATCCGGGTACTGCGCTAAAGACATTGAATACATTGATTTATTGTACCACTTGGAAGCTTTATATAGATAATAATCAATATGTTGCTGTTGTTTGGTGTTATTGGCGTTTCATTCTTTTTTAGAATATTTATTTTAGAATCTTTATTGAATATGATTTCAATGTTAATCAAATATCTACCTGAGCTGGCGAGGGAGATACAGATGCTGTAGAAGCCATCAGCATCACCATTATTAGTACATGCATTATAGTATGCTAGAATTTTGTGATGATGCATCGCAATTGGTACATATTTTATATACATGTACATATTTTCCTGACATTACAAGTATACATCATGTATTAACCATTATGATTTATTCAAATTCATCCACTTTTGCGTCTAAGTGTATGTCTATCAGTATCAGGAAACATTTATGTCATTTAATATATTAATCATGCATTACCGCAGAGAGGTATACAAATGTTTGACTGACCATACCTCTTCTTCTCTCTGCAGGTACAAACATGTTTACATGCAGGAAGTTGCAAGATACCTCATTGGGGAATATTTCAGATCAATAAAAAGATAGAGGGAAGGAATGGCTCACCCGGGGGAGAGTATTAATTTTGATGGACCAGACCTGCAGGAAGAGCAAGAAGAAGAGCTGGCATTTGATGACCTTCACAGGGAACAAGAGGTACACAATTCTTAAAAAGTGTTTTTGTTTTTTAAGCTTTTATTTTGTTCTTGTTCTTGTTTTTTGCCTTTACATGTTGATTGCAACTTTGTTTGGTTTACCACTCCTTTGTTGTGGGTTTAGTATTATTGAACAGGTGAAGAATTCGCATTTTTTATTTTCTTTATATTTTTACAAGTAGTACACTTAAATACATGTCGCGAAAAAATGTGTGAGAAATATTATGGACTATGAATTTTTTGCTACCATATATACTCAGTACTCTGGGAATTATATTTTAGGGGTAGGTTGCACTTTTTAATACATGACTGCCTCCTGAAACACTTCACAATAAGCCAGTTCATAGTTGCAGTCTGAGCATGAGCAGAGAAAGGTCATTGCAGACCAAATTGTGAAATACACAGAGACAAAATACTGGATACGTGCTCATGAAAGTTATGTAATCATTATTAATTTTTATGCACAAGCAGTGCACTCCATGATACACAGGTGGAAGTATTCTTTGAAAAGGGGAAACAAAGGCTATTTATGTAGCACCTCCATCGCTGTAGGAGTGATTATTTCAAAATGTACAAAGTGGGACCTCTTCATGTTTTGAAGACTTGTGGATATTCGGGGTCATTTGGGACATGTGCTAACCATGAACTGGTCTATTGTTAAACTGGTGTCAACTTGAATACTGATGTCTCACTCTCTTTAGTTTGATACCAAATTTAGTTCTGATTACAGGTGTACCCAAACTGTTGTAGGGCATTGTACCTTTTTAGATTTGGATGTACAGTTTAGGTCATATATTATTATTTTTAATGTGTAATACAAATCATGTAATCTTAAAGGAAAGTAAGATCTGATGTCACATGGTTGGTTCAATCAGCCTGTTTCCACAGAAAACATTGACACAGTATTACCCATGTCATACCGTGTCATACCGTGTCAGTTTTCCTGTGGAAACACAAGCATGTCATGTCTATTCAACCGAGATACGGATTATCAGATCCACTTCTGGAGGTGGATCTTGACGTGTCGATCCCAACGAACTCCCTGTGAAATTGCTGTGGAAACACACAGCGACAAACCGTGTCTGGCGAATCATCAGAGCGCGCGAAGCCTCAATTGCCACTGGAGCGTGATTGGTTGAAAAATACTTTGAAATACGCGTATACAATACTATGTTTATATACGCGCTGTA